CTTTTAAGACCCCAGTCGCTACTCACCAAAGTAGGCTGTAGAACAAGAATTTTATGTACTATGTTGTGCCAATTGAGCATAATGCTCCCCAAGACTAAGGTCCCAAGCCTGCTGGCCCAGTGAGTCTCTCTCTCAAGGTGTTTGGTTGTCTCTAAGAAGTTACTCCACCCCTGTCTTTGTGGTTTCTGTAATGGAAGTGGCTAATTTTGTAGCAGCACAAGTGCAGATTAAGATTATCTTGTCCTTGGTCTAGGGTATATCCTTGATCTTGGGTTCAAGCCTTTCAGTTGGGTGATATGAGCTGAGCTTGGATAGATGGGAGGCTCTGAAACAGGCAGAGGAGGAAGGGAGATTCTAAACCGAGCAAAGGTTAGTGGGAGAGGTGAGGGCAGGTGGGGGCCAGCGAGCTCCTTGCACCTGTTAAAGCCAGTTTTCTTCATTCCATGCCGGTCCACCCACCACACCCTGCCTCCCCACCTGGGTGGGGTTCAGCCACCTGCCCTTCCCTGGCTACAACTAACAGAGGCTGGGCCAGCTCACCTGCTGTTGGACAGGTGCCCAGCCTCACCTGTGTTCAGGTGTGAGTGACCCAACACTTACTTCCTGTTCCCTGGCTCCACCTACAGCCCCCCTCCCTAAGTCCATTGTCCCGGGGGGTGCATGCAGGGGAGCCTCAGAGGGGCCCTTCCCTGGACAGCTGTGCCCCACCCCAGAGAAGGGAGCTGAGCTGTTTTTCAGTGAGAGAGCTGCAGCCCTGCTCAGCCAGCCCAGGACAGGTGCGCAGGGCTGACAGGTGCACAGGTGGCTAGGAGGGTGGCAAGGTGGGACAGCTCCCGAGCCTGGAGCTGTGTGGGGCCCCAGGGCGGAGGCTGCTGTCCCCCTCCTGCCTGGTTTCATTGGCCAGGGACCTCAGCAGGAACTAGGCAGCTGGGGTTAGCAGGGAGGGATAGCTGGTCTGCAGTGGCCTGGTGTGGAGGTGGTTACGTCCTTCCTGCAGCTTGGGGACTGTCACCCATGTCCTGCTTCTGCTCAGCCAGATGCCCCCACCTCCTGCAAAAAACGCTAGTCGTTGCTAGCTCTGGCCAGGACCGTCACAGCCTGTACTCCTCAGAATCGTCCCCTGAACCGTCATCAGGGGCTGTGGCCTGTTCTGTAGCCTCAGCTCACGTCCCTTCAGTTGTGCCCGCTCCTTCCTT